TTTTGAATAGAGGTGGCCCAAGCAAGAAAATGTGGTATTTTGCTACATCACACCTACGACCAAAGACCAAAATGATGTACCCGCTCCGAAAGAAAGGCACTGCCTCTGCTATACTACCTCACACATTAATGAAGAAATCCGGCTGAATAATCTCATCATGAAACAGGATTAAGATCAATGTGTTTTAGGCTCCAGGGCTGTCATAACAGTTAATTCTATTTCCCCAGTCATCTATTGCAATGTATTTATGAAAAGTCGATTTTATCAGTTAATTAGCTGGTCCTTAGGAAATTACTTGTACTTCCTCCTGTTCCATTCTTTTTGAAACACAGATCTAAAAAGAGCACTTTGAGGGGAAAATGGGGTCATTTGGATCTTAAAACAATTCTTTAGGCTATATTTGGTATGGAGGCCATGATTTTGAAATAAGATTTGTATCATGCTCTCTCCTCAGCATAAAACAGATATCTTAGTTACTCAAGATGCTAACAGGTATATATTTACAATATCATAACTGAAATAAGTGAGATTAAAAATCAGAACTGAAATGTGTATTTAAAAAACTGCTATTTATATATGCTAAAATCTAGTAATATAGTCTTAAGTACCCAAGCAATCAGTTCAGAAAAATGAATGGAACACATCATCTTACCCCACTTTGAAACACTCTGAGTTTCAATCTTATCCATGGAATAGTTAGTTCTATGAAAATGTGTAGTAAAGATGTACACACATCTATGCACTGACCCAGATTCCCTGGCTTAGTAGCTCTGTGTTAAGGTATACATTTAGCTACATACATGCTTTCATAGATATGTACACATGTACAAACACTTCTTTATAAATATACAGGACCTATGTACACAGTTCTATTTGTATACATACTAAGGAGTCTTCTAGGAAACATGGCAGTTTTTTGTTTGTTTGTTTGTTTTTTAGTGATAGAGTCTTGCTCTACTGCCTAGGCTAGGGTACAGTGATATGATCACTATTCACTGCAGCTGCAATCTCTAACTCCTTGGCTCAAACGATCCTTCTGACTTGGCCTCCCAAAGTGGTGAGGTTACAGAGTGTGAGCCTAAATATGTCAGTTTTTATAATTTTTTTGTTTTATAATTGCTCTCTCTCTTCTAAATCCTAGATGGAAAAACTCAAAGCATCAAGGTATTAACTTTCTCAGGATCATAGAAGGAAAAGAACTGAGTGTTGAATTGGACAGTCAGAGGTCTCTCTGATGCTTTCCTGAACACCATCTCTAGGTATCTGAAATGATAGAAAGCCCTCAATATACTTTAACATGCCACTACTCCCTGGCTCTATAGCTTTGAGAGCTTCTTTAAGAATATTATTATATAAATCTTTTTCTTATTTCACCTAACCCTTCCCATTTGTTACCACTACTGGTCAGTCTCTCCAGCTATCTGGAAATTGCTGTGAAAGGAGGGGGCTGGGCAAGACTGTCTCTACCAGGGACATCCAACCCAAGCTATCTGAGATCTTCAGGGTTACTTCTTAGGACCAAGGGACAATGAAGCACAGTGGTAGAATCCCTATGATCTATAGGTTTCTGTTCCCTTGAATTTGACCTTTTAGAGTTTCCATGTTTTACTGATATCTATATTTGTGAGGCAGAGGTGAAATCTGTATAGCTAGAAGTAAGCTGCGCATTTCTATATGATATAAAAGCAATGGTTTCATTCACTCAAATCTGTACAGCTAGAAGTAAGCTGCGTGTTTCTGTAAGATATAAAAGCAATGGTTTCATTCACTCAAATCAGACTTAAGGATGTATCCCTATGGGCAGGAAACCCAATTTTGAGAAACTTAGAAACTATAATCTCTTTAAAAGCTGAACTTTTACTGTTTAGAGAAAAAAAAAAAAGCCATAATCTTTAAAACTGACATTCCAAAATAAAAATATTACCTACATTTCTTAGTATTTCTCTTTCATGTATATAATAAAGTCACACACATACAATGGAAAATTAGCAAATCATTATTAATAGGAAAGTCTGATTATTACCAGTGGCCACTGGTAAAGCCACCTGTTGCAGGCCGGGCATGACGCCTGTAATCCCACCACTTTGCAAGGCTGAGGTGGGTGGATCACTGAAGTCAAGAGTTCGAGACTAGCCTGGCCAACATGGTGAAACCCGGTCTCTACTAAAAATACAAAAATTAGCCAGGTGTGGTGGCCAGAGCCTGTAATCCCAGCTACTCAGGAGGCTGAGGCAGGAGAATTGCTTGAACCTAGGAGGTGGAGGTCACAGTGAGGGAGCTGAGATTGCGCAACTGCAGACTGCACTCCAGCCTGGGCAACAGGAACAAAACTCCGTCCCCCAAAAAAGTTTTTTTGTTAAAAATGTTTTTGATACTGTAGGAAAAAGGTTTGCTTTCCACTGGCAAATCTACGTTTGGCTTATATTCATTCATTTATTCAGTCAAACGAACTCATAAGGTTTCATTATATTTGAATGAGTTTTTTCCCTCCCCTGAAAAAATCACGGGCTCTTCAAGAAAATGACTGGAGTGAAGCTGGTCCTGAACTCGAGGCTGTGGGAAGTGCTGATAGAGAAGTGCGTGCATGCAGCCAGCTGTGGGCTCTGCCAGCTCCTCCCCGTGCTTCTGCTGTCAGTCTGAACTGCAGGCAAACATAACAGCAAGAATGAGTGGCTCAAAGATGCACCACCCACATCTCTGTTCTTAAGGTATTCCATTTAATCTATCCCTTCAACATGCTCTACCTCAAGAAATAAAGTCAGAGGAAAGAATCCTTAGAAGAACTTTTCTAGGTTAGTCAATCTCCTCTTTTATCCTTAGAAGATAGAAAGGCTCAACTTAGGAAGTTAAAACAAAAAGTAAGCAAAGTAAAAAAACATGTCATACTTGGTAAGCAGACATCTCCCAAAGTACCTCCATTTAAGGTACGGAATTTTAATTAAAGAACTTAGCACATTCTATTTGCTGAGCAGAAATGACTTCTAAAGAGCCAAAACACATTGATTGATTTCTTCATTTTAGCCTAACCCCACAGATAAATATCTCTCCAAATATAAATCCTGCTTGCTGACAAAGAACATACCCTTGCTTCAGCACATGCAATCAATTTGAATGCAGCCAATTCATCTCCCTTTTGACTCTTTTGGGTTACAGAGAAACAAACAAAAGTGTCATAAAAGCATTTCAAAGAACCTCTGCCAAGAAAGCCACCTCCCAAACAGACTGCAGTTTATGCTGCTTTGAGCAGGAACTGGTAAGGCTGGGCCAAATTGTCAACACAGAACAAAGTTGGATTACAAATCCTGTCTTTCATCTTGCAAACACACACACACACACACACACACACACACACACACACACACACACACTTTGGGTTATCTTTATTTAGTCTTTCAGTGGCAAGCTTCCCAATCACTTGAAAGCAATCAAAGGGCAATAATTAACATGCATTTACTCTTTTCTACAACACATTCGCAGCAAGCTGTGACAAAGCTAAGGTAAGCATGCATCTGTGTGTTACAGTTTATTCCCTTTTACAGTTTCATGGCATTGTGCCTTGGACGTGAGGCCTATCATTAAGGAATGTTTAGCTGGTACCTCTGTTCTTATATTTAAAAGATTTGGAATACCCAGCTTTTTACTTAGAGAGAGACCTAAGATAATCTCTCTCCAGTGGCATTTTTACACACATACACCCACCTACCCAGAGATAAAACAAAGCTGGTAAGAGTCTGTTGGTCCAAAATGAGAAATTGAGTCCTTGCATGGCTCAGGTGCTTGCTATTATAAACTATGACTAAGAGACATGAATTTCTCTATGATGCAACTCTCAAGAGAGGCAGCATTTTCTCTAGGCCTCTCTTAAACCTGCTCATTCGCCAGTGACTAATGCTCTCTAGAGCAGCCCTGTGCTGCTCAAATTTCATCAGCCAGCTTTGTCCTTGATAGCTCCGCCTAGACCATAAAAGCTCCCAAACCTGTTGAGGACAGCCCCCAAAGATCAGGGTAAAGCTAACCATGCCCCTGCCAGTGCTGAAAGCCACCTTTTGAGGTTCCCACTGCATTTTATTATCTCCAGTAATGAGCACTTAGTGGCCATTTTAAGAAAAACTTCTCTAAACAGCAAAGCCACAGCAACTACATGAAAAATAAGAGTAAATCAGGCCACCCTGTGACCACCCCTTGTCAGCTTAGGAGTAGAGACAAAATTGACAACGTGTTGGATGAAGCCAAAGTTAACAGGAGTTTTCCATTAACTATTTTCTGCACCTTTAAGAGAAAGAGAAATGTCAGGTTCACGATTTACATCAAGGACTTAATTTATAAAACAAATTTTAAAAAGCTATAAAACAATGTCTGATTAATAGATGCTTGGTCCAACATCATATATATTATGTTAATTTATAATTTTGTGCTTAAAGGTTTGCAATATTCCGTTGTTTTTTTTGTTTTTGTTTTTTTGAGGCGGAGTCTTGCTCTGTCACCCAGACTGGAGTGTAGGGGAGTGCGATCCTGGCTCACTGCAACTTCCACCTCCTGGGTTTAAGCGAGTCTCCTGCCGTAGCCTCCAGAGAATCTTGGAATACAGGTGTCTGCCACCGCACCCGGCTAATTTTTGTATTCTTAGTAGAGATGGGGTTTCACTATGTTGGCCAGGCTGGTCTTGAACCCCTGACCCTCAAGTGATCCACCTGCCTCAGCCTCCCAAAGTGCTGGGATTACAGGCATGATTCACCGCACCTGGCCGGCTTTGTAATATTCTTGAGGTAAAAAGAAATTTAGGATAAAATTATGTTCAGTAAGTCTAACCTACAACAGAGTAGAAACACTTTAGAAATAATTTTAATGAGAAAATAATTTTAACTCTGAATCATTAGAAGAAACTAAATGCACACCACTGTCTAAATCTGGCCATAGCTGAAAAAAGCATGTTCTAGACATGGATGATCCGAGACCAAACAATTTCAGAACAAATGTGCCATCACCAGAAAGGTACTTACAGTTATCAGACTGAAAATCTGGGACAAACTGTTCATCATCAGGAACTTGTGCTGGAAAATAGATTTTTATTTTAGACCTTTAAGTTTTATTAAAAAGCACAGTAAAATGTTTTATATGGAAAATAGGACATCCATGAAACTTGCCTTCAGCTAACCAAGCCTCTTGAAGTTGACTGAGATCCTGAAACAACTCTGAAATTGAAAACAGAAGACCCCAGAATGAAGATATTTCTTCTGCTAGGGAGGAGACGGGGAAGAATCTACATGCTGCAGTCACTCATAGGCAGGGAAGCCACAACATAGGCAGGGAAAGCTTTACTACCTTCAGAATCGTGAGCCAGATCTGTGTCCAAAAACTTCCTCTTTCTGTCAATCACAGGCCGCCCTCTACATTCCTCAGATCGAGATTTCTGAAAGAGGCCAACAGACAGTGCAGACTCAAGTGTAGTGAAGAGGTCCAAAGGGGGTCGACTCACTAAACCAACAGGGGGATGACTCATATTGAAGAGGGAGGACAAAACCAACCAAAAGCCACATAAACTTACCCCTGGGACCATAAAAGGGACTTGCTGATCATAAAACCCATCCATGGCGCTTTCAACGTCTCTAATATCACTTTGAGAGGTTTCAGCATTGAGTAATTTCTGGGGGAAAAGGGATCCTCCTGTAATATGAATTTGGGAGATTTTAACTAAGAGGGGGGAAAAAAGAAAGGAAACAATTTTAGACTGCTTTTCCTTTAGGGCCTATGCAAAATTATTACCCTTCTGTGAAGTACTTAAAACCTTTACTCAAGGTGTAAGCTCTACTGACCAATCCTGGGCTTGATTAATGGTATCAGAGGTGCATGAGGTACTTGGTGCCAAATCCATTTATCCAGTCATCATTTCTTTCTTTTTAAAAATCATTAAAATATAGATTTGCTACTGCCTGTCCTTTACCAAAAAACAAAAACAAAAAAAACCTTATTTTCATTATAAAAGGGTGATTTCAAGGTTCTCTCACATCCTCCAGGGCATTTATAGTAGAGTTTTTAAAAAAGAGATGATTTAATTTTTGACAGCATAGCATCAGGAAGCAGAGAAACTGGGTTTAAGTACAGTATTCCAAATTATTGGCAATTAAAGATTTGACATACATGGTGTTTCTCAAAGCATTTTGTAGGTCACTATTAAAACACTATATATAGTTCCTGGAATAAATTGATCAGAGGTATACTTATCTTCACACAAAACTCTATTTAAAAGAAGTCTAAATAGATGTGGCATCTGTAATGTCACAAATATCTCTCTGGCTGCTTACAGAGATATTTGTGACATCTCCAACTTCTAAAAGAATAAAATGCCTATGAGAAGTAATGGATTTAAAAAACTAATTCCATCGTATGTGTTTACAATGCATCTCTACCAAAGGGCTTTAGAAACTCAGGTTTTAAAAGTTTATCCTCCCCCCACCCCAAACGAAATGAAACTCATTTCAGGACTGGTGTTGAGTCTGGGAAAAAAGGGTGCGGTCAGAAGGGAGAAAACTTCTCCTAATGTGGGTGGAATAAAGTAACAATTTTAGGAAGGTACCATCTTCCTAAACACTTTTATCCTCCAAATAACACCGTTAAGTCAACAAAATGTGGAAAAACATTAATTTCATTCACTCCAGCTTTAAACTGCTTAAGAGGTCAATTTCTTTTGTTTAATGTATACACAAATTTTAAACAGGAAACTTTTCCCCCAGTGGGCAACTCCATTCAATATGTTTTTCACACTGTGTATAGCATATCAAATTTTTCATAAATGAGCAGGATACAAGGAAACCCTTCACAGCCAGCCGCCTCCTCAGCACTTTGGCCCAAGTAATCAGGTTATTTTCAAAGTCAAAGAAAAGAGAAGAGTAAAATAGCACACAGTTCATAACTTTGTAGAAAAACACTTGCGCCAACCTGCCTGCGTGCCCGTCCAAACAGTATAAGAAACATTCAGAATAATGCCTCTCTCAAATGTCACCAAACCATATACAAATCTGAGAAACCTCATCAGTGAGTTGAGGGGCATGAAAGACGGTGCTCTGTCGATTATGAAAATGTCAGATTAAATCGTGGCCTTAGACATTTTGTAAACGTCTGTTGGGGGTAAAGGGACAATGAGTAGGAGACGAGAGGGGAAGATATTTTTCAGTCTCATGATGAAATACTTCACCCGGAAGAACAAAAAAATCTTCTAAAAATGTAAAAGAAATAAACTGCCATAAACGAACCGAAAAGAGACATTTCAGAGCTAGAAAAATTGTATTCCAAGCATAATTTTTTTTAAAGCCTGAAGGAAAGGCTCGAGTTCATCCAGGAGTTTAAACCACTTCCTTTGCACCCCCACCACCCGCGCCCCGGGCGCCCCCAGGAAAACTTTAGCACAGCGCAGCGGCGCGATCCAGGCCCCTCCCCTGTGGCGCGCAGCGGGCCCGGTTTTATGAATGGGAGAGCGAGCCGCGGCCGCCACATCAGGTAGAGGCTGTAACTGGATCTCTCGCGCTGGGCCCCATTCACAAAACAAGACACACTTCCACCCAATTCCCAGCCTTCCCCATTCATGAAAACTCCTTCAGCTGCGCCCCCGCCCCCACTTCCAACGCACGCCCAGCCTCCGACGCAGGCCCCTCACCCCAGCGTTTTAGGAAGAAAGCTCAATGCTTCATTCACAAAAAGGG